AGAGTTGCTTGCTCCTGCGACAGACCAACTTTACTAAAAATTGCCGAATCTAAAATTCATAGATCTGACATGGTTTGACCATGTTTGATCTCACGCTACATAAGAGTCTACATGTCATGGTACACAGCCTACACAGGTCCGCCTCCACCGGTCACCCGCAGCCTGAAAAGAACAGCATCCTTGCAGAACCGAAGCAGGCAGACGGCTCAGCATGGCTAGCCGGCAGTACAGTGTGTCTTCAAGCTCACCACCACTTTGATAGCCGGGGAGCCTCGTGGTTACGGAAGCCGAAGACTACCCGCAGAGCATCAATCACTGAGGGATCAAGAGCTCTGGGCTTAAGCAAGATGGATGACAAGGGATAAGAGCCGTTCTTGCAGCTAATGATAGGCTCACTGTATTCAGCTTGATTTTCCACGGAGCCATGTAGTGGCCTCAATAAGTTCAAACTGCATGAATGGCAACACTGGCCGACTGTGATCTTAATGGATTTTGATTTGTCTGTTTGAGCAGCGCGTGGATTGGAGCTTTGGTGTTGTGTGTGGGCTAAGTAAGATACTTCATTCCTTTGTATAGGCACTTAGGCTAATTCAAAGTAATCAGACTATGATAAATGGTGCGCGGGTGTAAGAAGTCTAAAGTATGGCTTCAGGGACTGGAATTGGTCGTTACTGACTGTGTGTCTATATCAGTACGCGGCAACTAGAAGAGCGGCGTATTATGTATTGTCATTGTACTTGAAAGAAAAAGTCAGGCAGTTTGTTAAGGGTCAAGAGCTGTTACTTAAAGCTCCCTAATTGAGAGGTGCGCTAGTACAATAGCGTCCAGCCCATGTTATGCATGATCATTTTTGCTATTTCTTTACAGAACAGAGGCGCTCTGTATTGAAACAGATGATCAACACCGATCTTTAGGGAGGACTTAAAAATGTGACTGCTTATTAACTGCGGCGTATTATAATTGGTGGCTCGCACCAACAGCTGTGGAAGAAACAATCGGTTTATTCTAGTTCCGACCCGTTTGCTCTGTGTGGTTTGCTGCGCGCGTTTCTCTCCCTCTCGCCCCTCCGCGCGCTCTCCTCGCTCCGTCTCCTCCCACTGCCAACGTGACAGCCGCTCGCTCCCCCCCCCGACGCGCCCGGCCGCGCGCCCCGCGCCCCCCCGTCGTCGGACCCTCGCTCATCCTCTCTCTGCGCGCCGAGAACCGCGCGGCCGCGGCCGCCCGCCGCGCCCCCGCACGCTCGATCGCGCACCAGACACCCCTACCCTCCGGTGCGGCGCCTCCAGCTTCTCCCTCCTCACTCTGGCTCGGTCGCTCCGCGCGCGCGCGTCGCTCTCGCTGGCGCCCGTAAGACTGGATCACAGAAACATGTCGCACCCCCGGCGCCTACATCCCAAACACCAGGCAGCGTCCGCGAAAGCCCAGACACGCTGCGCTTCGTTGCGTCCACCACCCTCCCCTCTCCTCCTCTCTCCCTTTTTCCCGGGGTCCCCGCCCCGCGCTCCTCTCTTCCCCTTCTCCATCTGGCCTGGCGCGCGTACTCCGCGCGCGCCCCTGGCTCTCGGCGCCTGCCTGCGCGCTCCGTCGCGCCCATCCGCCGCCACTCTGCACGCATCAGGGAGGGCCTGACTCACAGGGTCTGTGCAGCCAGCGCCACCCGAGGCCTGCGACGACAGCCGGGTGCGGTGGGGTGCGAAAGGCGCGTTGTCCACATGCAAGAGGCGCGGGACCCACGCTGCGGTGGGTGCTGCCGCTGCGCTTGTCGTCCTGCGCCTCGGACGCTCAAAGTAAGTGGACCGGTTGGGTTTCATGTGGCTCAAGTGTTGTGTTCTGCTGGGTTGGGGGCGGGTGGCAAGGGGTGGAATTGGTTTTTGTTTTTTTACACTAAAACTCATCAGACACCTAAATACTTCCTGTGACACGTGCAAATCTAATAGTTATAATATCATGAAACTTTTGTCATGCAAACACACTATTACATACTATACATACATATATATACGTAAATTAATACATATATGATAGTATACATCCGTATATATACGTATACAGTGACAACATATATAACTATAATACTATATAAGTACGGTAGTACACTATTAAACACACACACACGCAGCACACAGACATGAATTCAAATACAAAATTCGAATTCAGTAAAGCTTTAGAAAAATTTTTTATTATTGGTAGGTAGACTACAGATATATCGTTATGGTAATTGATATTAAATGATAAAGTCGCGCCTCTACTTTAAAAAGTGTGTTTGCTCATTGTTACTTCACTTGGATGTTTGACCTTCCCTGTGCAGAATAATGTATGGTGCAGTTTGATGCCTGGAAGGGTGTTATTAAGTTAACCTGCTGGGGGGGGGGGGGGGGGTGGTTCTCACTGCTCACCTTAAGTTTAAGACGTACATATGTACATATGAAATTATTTTGTGACTAGTTTCGAAGCCAATTTTTGATCCAATGTGGTCCAACTTACACGGTGTTTGAAAACTTTAAGTCTCCAGTGCACACACATGGTAAAAATGATAAATTATTCATAGGTATCATAGGTAATTGAACTTTTTTGGAGGTAAAACCTAAATGATAAACATATTATTCCAAGTAGATTTTTTTTTAAATATCTGAATCTTAAATTTACAAAATAAAACAAAAAGGTCTGCAAATAATAAAATCAAACCCTTCAAAATCCAGTATCATGTAATCTCTTGATATTGATATTGATCCCTCCCTCACACACACCAATATTTCATATCTCACCAGACTATCAAAATGTGTTCAAGTCCATATTTTCCAACTACCTTTCTTTCTGCCGCAAAAAAAAAACAAAAAACGATCATGTGAACCAGAAATGCTCAGCCCTCAGCCAAGAATCTCATGATGAGAAGTCATTGGAATTGAGTTACTTGACATCAGACACCTGCCCATTGATGTGTGACAACAGTTTTCAAACCTCATTGAGCTCTGGTCCTGCACCACAGCATCCCACCCTCTCTCTTTTTTTTACACTAAGATCCATGAATCATTAGCTTCTGGAGTCACAGAGGGATGAATAAAAGTTTTATGGCTCCCTTTGCACCGACTGAAATCCCCTCAGTTCAGCTGAATATCTCTGAATGAAGGGATCATTCACCCAAGGTCATATACAACAGAGCCACGCAAAGTGAAATTGATGGGTAAGATTTTCAACTTTGTGCTTGAGAAATGTTCCCTGCAATCCGCTCAAATGTGTTTTATTTTTCTTCACTGCCTCTCGCCACATATGTCTCACAGCGGGGAAGAGGCAAATGGAGAAATGTTTTCTCCGTTTATCCTCCCGTTTTATGTGCAGTTCCAGGATTTATTGACACAATTTAATTACGGGACCTTCCCAAAACGGCATTAACAGTCGATAAACGTTACCATCGAGGGGGCTCTTTAGTAGCTATCTTTTCAGAAACTCCCATCGTCCACAGTCTAGAGTGAATTTACATATCAGCATTTGATGGAAAAAAAACACTATTGCCAAAATCTTCCCTCAGACAACAAACTTCCACTCTCTCGTGTCCAGACATTCCACAGTCACCATCGTGCACGAATGTAACAGAGACCTGCACAAGTGCAGCTAGCAACCCCCAAATCTTGACGCCTCTGTGCTCACCATCCCCCCCAAAATCCTCCCCATTTATTTCCTTCCTTTAGCTGTCTGGCTGTGAGCAGCTGCTGCTACCCCATACCCTACTTAGACAGCTGTGCTGGGTCATCATTTCAAAGCCAAAACAAACTTATCGTGAAGTAGCCACAGTGGCTGGCTGTTAATGACTGACGGGGTGTGTGGGAGTCAGGGAGGTCACAGGGATGAGGTGCGTGTACTTTCTGCAACCGAGGTAAGAGGGCAAGTGTCTGTTCATAGGAAGAACCACTTCAGGCAGCACATATTAGCCCTGGGATTTATATTTGCTCCATTCTGTTCCTGCACTGCCCCATCTCCCACATGCACGTGTTTGTTCCTCCCTTTCCTCAACTCCCCTCTATTGTTTTTCTTCATAATCGCTCTCTTGCCAATTTTATCCTCATTTCTTATTTGGGCTTTTTCTTTCTACAATTTTTTTTTTTTGTCTGCATCTTTGTTTTCTCTCCACTCTCTCCCCTTGCTGTTTAGAGGCAGTGCAATAGCCCCTTCCAGCGACTGAGAAGCTCCTTAATTTCTGCACATGCATAAACCAGCCCAGACACTCTGGGGCTCTCTCCCCATCTGCGGTGTGCACTGAGGACCAAAAAAGACCTCCATTCAATTTAGTCTGCTCCAGACTAACCCTCAGCACCATAAATCCGACTGCATTTCCGAAGGGAAAGCTGCCCT